ACCTTTAGCCCCCCCCCCCCCCCCCCCCCCCCCCCCCCCCCCCCCCCTGTGCCCCCCTCCGTGGCGGGCGAATGGATGGCTGCAGCGTGTGTGCACAAATATCGAATGAGGTTCGCCGTGAGGTATGGTTGATGGCAGGGTGTTCCGGGGTCGATGACCCTTTCTGCCAACCACCCACCGGGATTCTATTTCTGTCAACCCTGCGCGTTTTTGACCGTTTCATTTCTGCTGTCCCGCGATTTTCCTCGCTTGTCTCGAATCGACCGACCACCAGGCTGTTCAGATGGGCGACAAGCCGGTGGACCCTGTGTTCATGCTGATCTCGAAGGAGGCCAAGCCTGGGCAGACGTCGAAGGTGATCAGCATCAGCGGGACCGCGATCACCTTCATGGGCACGGCCTTCACTGCCTTCGCCTACGGCATCGGAAACTTCGCGCTCCGCCCGGGGTTCTATGAGAAGGTGCGTATGTTTGTTGTGTATTGTGTTTTCGTCCTAATTATTTTGGCGACAGTCCCCCCATTTTCGTGGTGCGACGTGTACTACACGTTTCAGCGTATGTAGAGTACTACACTTTGTCAGTGTATTTTTTCGTACAACTACAACCATCCAGGGTCACACAGGAGGGGGTAAACACCGGAGCTGTTTTCGTTTTGTTTCTTTTCATGCCCCACCTTCCTCCTGCGGTGCGTGCTGAATTTTTATGTTTTTCGCTAGAAGGGTCCAGCCGTCCCTTTGCCTCGTCGACGGTGCTACNTTCGTACAACTACAACCATCCAGGGTCACACAGGAGGGGGTAAACACCGGAGCTGTTTTCGTTTTGTTTCTTTTCATGCCCCACCTTCCTCCTGCGGTGCGTGCTGAATTTTTATGTTTTTCGCTAGAAGGGTCCAGCCGTCCCTTTGCCTCGTCGACGGTGCTACCGTCGAAGTTTGGTACTCACGAGAGCTTGTCATCTATATTTCGCTTTCACCCGCACATTTCTTGTTGGTGTTGGTGTTGGTGTTGATGTAGGTGTTGATGTTGTGGCAAATCTGTGTAGCGCCTTTATTTCTTGCCAAGCGACCCACGGCCCACCAACTCAACGATGGCGGCGGACAACGGTTTGTCGCCGTTGAGACGTACGCAAGTGTTTCACCAAGCAACCTCAACCATATCTAGAGGTTTCACCCCCGTCCCTGACTTGTCCCTGATTCGTCGCGCTTCACCGTTCCCTCTCCTCCTCGTTGTCGCCTTTTGCTCTTTTTCTCATTCTTGTTGTCGTACTCATCGTTTGTTCATGGGCGCCCCCGTGTCTGTCTGCATCAACATGTTTTCGCCTGTCTCAGATCAACGAGGGAGACGTGGCGGTGGCGGGAATGGCCATCCCAATCATGATGGGGGTGCTGACTTTGCAGGTAGACATGTCTTCAATCACGGAAAGACGATTGGCACGTTCGAGAACAACCAGTGTTGTTCGTCCTCGCCGCCATTCAACGAAAGAACGGTTTAACGAGTCTAAGCCCACACCTTCTTGCCCCCCCCCCCCCCCCCCCCCCCCCCCCCCCCCCCCCCCCCCCCCCCCCCCCCCCCCCCCC